ATGATCATCGTAAATATCCAATGGATGTGTTCTGTCGCGAAATAATCTTGGTCTTACGAGGGAGATGCTGTCTGCGGTTCACCGCTATCATCGCCATTTTGTTTTACGGTGTCTCAGACGACTGATAATGGCGGGAATTATAACATTGCGATTCATTGATAGCAATTTTAGATGAAATATAGAAAATATTCTTCCATTATTTAAGACGACTTTAGACCCTTATTATCTCGTCAGAACACATGAAATGACGATTTTTTTAAAATCGTATGTTGGTTAGTATACCGAAAAACGTTGTATTAAAATAGCAGATAATTCGGAGAACGCTAAACGCGTTTAATTAAAACATAAAGCAACCCTTAATATTGCGACTGTATTGCGGCTGGTTGAGGGTAGTCGCAATTATATGACGCTAGTAATGCGATTGAATTGCTAAGTCGCAATCGCACTTTGATTGTGAATAAGAATTTTAGCGATTTTTGCGATGGCGATTGCGATGTCGCAATCGCATAGGATGCGACACATTGTGAATAAGGCCTCAGGATCGCAATGTACATGGTTCGAACGACCCTAAACATCAGGTAACTCGCGAGACTTCGCCTCGCCTCCAAACAAGAAGTTTCCAATTTGAGTGACACTGCATACTTATTTTCAAGCCTCGGAAGTTATTTTTCATGAAAACGTAAAAAATAAAATGACCCAATACATCTAGATCTCATCAGTACTTTCAAAATTATTCTTAAAATATGTACTCATATCATGTCACTAATAATTTCGTGTCAATTAAAAAATTAAAAAAGAAATGATACATTTTAGAGTGCGATACTATGGCGCCGTTTTCAATAGCTTTTACTCCAAGCGTAATTGGACTTCAAACAGATGTGAAGTTAACCTGCAAGTGCAAATGATATACCCATTGCATGCATGGTTTTACGATTCACAACACATGAGAAAAATCATAGGTTCTGGGCCGATATAAAGATGGCAGCACCAACAGAATCCAGTATTATCTTTTTATTTTATAAATAAACACAGATCGATTACCATGCCATCTTTTAAAAACTATTTCTATCGACCTTAGCCTATGAGAAAAATGCTAAATAATATTTTTAGATGTCACCCTGTGTAGAATATTCCATAAACAATTCACATTTACAGTTTTAATACAAAGATGTCGTGAAAGACATTGAAAATACTACAAATAAATTAGGAAGTAAAGAGACGCAGCTACTATGATCATAAACACACTATGGAGGAAAATCGTTGCCCGAACAAACTAAAACCTGCATCATTCATTAGACGAATATTTCCTGTTAGTATGAACGTTTGAGAAATATTGCACCCGTAATAAGTAAATAAATCGCTCTTTTGAGAGTATGCATTGATTGTCCGAATGCCGCTAAATGCCTATGTCACCTTTGCTCCGATTCACGACCGGCGCCCGGCCGATTGCAGTAGTTTTGGTTTGTTCAAAACTGATTTCAAATTCCTTCAAATTGACCAAACTTTTTTTAACATCTGACTTCAAATTTTAATGTGACCTACCTCTGCATTACTAGGGCAAATTTCCAAGCTTAGATATTTGTAAATAGAATATTTGAATTAAAGTGTATTAATTTTGTCATAGTTTATTTTAAAGTTGCAACAAAGCATTAACCCTTTGCATTCGTTTGACTTCACTTCTAAAAAGAGAGCTTCGTCTTCAGTTTATAACTAGACTCTGCGCGCACGGTAGAAAATGTTGGACGTATCTTTAAAAATGTCGTCTATGTAAATAATCCGCGAAAAGGCTAATAACAGATACGTATATAATTTAACATTGATAGGAATATAATATAATTTAAAACCAAACATTTCAGAATAGAGATGTATCTTTGGTTTGGTTTTAACTCATTTTAAAATTTGGAACGAAACTTTCCGATTGCCCCCCGCCCTTCAATTTGAGGGCTTAAAATAAAGTTTGATGTAAAAAGAATTCGCAATACTTAAATTCTAGAAGAACCACGCATGCATCGGGTAAGGAAAGCAATGTTTGTAGTTTTTCAAATTATTTGAATTGCAGTTTTAATTTGTTACCGCCATTGTTAACAGAAAGACGAATGGACGCCTGAGACCCGATCCCATAAGCTTCTTTTGTCAGCCAAAACATGGTAAAAGGACTAAAAGTCAAGATGATACGATTCAAGAAAACAGTGCAGTAGGCCTAAAGTGGGTGTGATGGGAGTGATGGATATCCGCTCTACACGTAGGCCTCTATTAATGGCATTGCTCTATAAAGTGTATTTGTACATAACATCTAATAAAGTACAAATTAACGCATGTCCAGAGCAGACATATGTTTTATATGTCTGTGCTCAGACAGGACCTCTAGATTCCAGATAGATCGCCTCCGTGGGCTTAACTTTTGGTTAAAGTTCTAGAAGTAAACCTTCGAACTAACTGGTAATTACAAAACAATTTGGCAAAAGGCCCTTCCAATTCGGCTCACGTATGATTCTTCCGAACTTTTAAATCACCACCATTAATATTGTTATAGTCTCTAATTTTTTGTGTTCGACGTACAGCGGTTGGTTTTGGGAGTTCGGCAGTTGGTGTTCAGCGTTTCACGTCTGTAACAAATGGAAGGTGGTGACATTTTGCATGTTATGCCGTGTAAGGTGTTTTAATATTATTTTGGGAAGTTTCAGTTGGACGTTCCTTATGATAACCCGATCGCCGAATGTTGTGTAATAATATAACTTTGAAAGCTGGGCATTGTAATTTTTGTTGAGAATCAAGGCATTCAATTTGCAGGGTTTGGAAGTTACTTAGAACTTAGAAAGCTTTGTCTGCAAAACCCATAATAATTTTCTTGGCCTCATTTTTGTTTTAGCCTGAGATGACGTCATGCTGTATAGTAAAGTCATGCGGCGCGTTTGTCAGCTCTCAGTTGCAAGCATTCTGGGCATGCTGAAAGTTCCCTTTCAATTCATGTTTCAACGATATTCAACCATTCATCTCGACCTGCCATGGTACTTGACAAGCAAGTCGACTCGTTTACACTGAATATTAAGCTTTCACGGTGAGTAGACGTTGTTTTTACAAGCTCAATGGCCATTTGAAGGGTATATTTTCTGTGTTTTGAAAGTCCCCGTCTCAAGTTTTGATCACTGAATATACCGAATGACAAGTTTTCAAATGGCATTATATCGACTTTTGATAGATCATAGAGTATATATAAGGGATATGTTGGTGTATACATCATTTTAAAAGGGTTAGGAGGACTTAGGTTGGGATTATCACTTCTCAATCAATTGATTCCGGACCGCAGGTGAGAAAGGTATATACACAGGTAAATCATTAGTTGCATTCTAAATAGTGTATCGTGATATAAACATACAATCTGCTGGTTTATATTATTGTGTGAGGATCGAAAGACCAATTTTTGTATCGCTCCTCTATACCAGTATATTTCCAGATTTATTCAGATTGGATTGATATTTGAAATATTCCATTCTGTTGGTTCCCCTTTTAGCTTATTTGTAATTTTCTGTTTAGTATTAAGGGTGTACATTTCCAATTTAAGGATTACATGAAATCCTTTCATAAAACTTTGAGTAACTCATAATCCAGGCTAGGAGAAATCTTAACATAAAATCTCTCTGTCAAGGGTTTGACATTAGTTATCTTCATTTAGAGAAATTAGCAATATTATATATTATTATATAATATATATATTTATATACATCACATGCATGTTTATATTTCTTACTACTTTTAAAAAATTCTTTATGTCGCCCCAAATTCACAGGGTCTTATTTTCTACATATGGTAGTACTTAAACGTGTGTGTCATCAATTTAATATTATATTATATGTGAGGACATTTAATTGATACTATACATTTTTGTATGTTTAATTGTTTTTATATGGTTTATCATTAAATTATTGTTCATTAATTAAAGCATTTAGTGGTACATCTAAAAAAATCAACTGTAATATTTTACATAACATGAACTTCATGTTTCATATTTTTATATCAGTTTTTTACCCAAGTTGGGAATTACATAATATTTTCTCGTAATGACAATATAATTAATTTATTAATTGTTTTGTAGATAATAATAAACAATCATTTAAAGATTATGAGAGAAAGCCAGTCAAAGTACATCTGCAATAATTATTTTATTGTTTAACTAATTTCTGATTTCCATTGTTATATTTTCACTTAAAATACCTCACTTCATATACTTTACCTGTATGTGTATTGTATTTTTACTTAAAATTGGGATTTATATACTACTTGGCATTATTTCTAGGAATGCCAGAAACTAAAGAAACAAATTACTTGATAGTAAATCTCTGTTTTACTTTCTTTGTTAAAACTTCATTATTCATTAAAAATAAAGTCATACTATGAAAAAGAATAAATGTAATCTCCTTTTATACAAGATGCTACTATAAAATTACATACTAAATCTATTTTTATTCAGTAAGAGACATTGTCACATGTAAAAGATAAAATATCCATTTACTGGAACAATATATCATCCAGTGAGGAAGCTTCTACTTTGCATACTCTTTGAATAATTTATATAACAGAATATGCATTCCAAAACAGAAAAAAATTACAATAATTAATCTTGAATCTTCCGATTGTCTTTCAGTTGTCATGTACAAGACAGATAAACTTAACAATTAGATAACAAGCTGTCGGAGAGATAGGCGGAGAAAACATCTTCATTAAAATATCCTTAAAGAATTACAATTCTGATATTTCCACTGTGGTTTCTATGCTTAACCTCCGTACAGGTTTTGGCCATAGTTTCAAGTGTGAAGAAATTCATGAGATTTTCTCAGTTTTAAAGAATAAAACTCCAAGTTGTATTTAGAGTTGAATACCACACCTATAGTTCTGAAAACTACGGGTTTACTGGTGCGCATCGAGCCTTTAGAGACACTGAAAGTTTAACAGACCCCCTGAGTCTCGTATCATCGAAGAGTGGTCTGAATTCAGCTGCATTGTGAAAGGACCTCACCAAAGTGAGAAATTTAACCAAAAGACATCTCTAAATTTAGCCGGAAGGGAAGTAATCGTGGTAGTGGTTTGTTCAAAAATAACAAAACATTCACTAATTGGAGGTAGAACCTGGCCTATAATGTAGAGCTCTAGTGTGGGATGTATAAGTATTAATATAAGACTTTTAAATCAATTACAATGCAGTGGCTACCACAGTGTAGCGCAGGCAGGCAAGAGAGAGCACGTAGTTAACAAGCTGCTACTGACAGAGCGAAAAGAAGTTACAATTAAAGAGTCACTCAATTACAGATGATCGAGTCAAGGAATAACAGATGATCATGGATCAGATATGAGACAACAAAAAACATTTTGATCTAAACAGGAACAAGTCATGGGCGAACTTCTTTCATTAGATGCAACTATTACAAAGTTAGCAAGTTTATAAATAGAGCCTTGTTGACAGCAAGAGAGGAAGCGATATTATTATATAAAGACAGTGAAAAAAAAACTTTGTCATCATCATTAAAACTCTGTTTCGATGCATTTCTACGACACTTCAATAAAACCAACGGGAGCAGCAATGAATTCACCGACTTTAGACAATAATCATAATATGCCAGCGATACAGAAATTAGGAGCAAAGGCAGAAAAGGAATTTGATTGCAAAAACAGGATCCACAGTCAAACAGTAGGTGAGTATCTTATAATTTTATTAAGTTTGATTAAGTTTATATTATCTATATACTGTTGTAGATATTTGTTGAAAATATTTAGTAGGGATACAATTACATGTTGAACCAAGGTGTTTAAATCGGAAGTCGTATAAGTTTTTTAATTGTCAATCAAATCATGGTATAATAGAGTATACATTTTTATTTCTCATAAAATAAATTCCAAAACATCCCACACGTAATATAAAAAATGGATCATTTAATTTAAACATTTGTCTTTGTTTCGTTTTCATATGTTTTTTAAAAAAGTTAATAGGTACATGGAATGTTTTACTTTGTGGTTTTATTTGAATTAAGCTAGGGATGTACTAAATATAGTTCTTTAACTTAGAATTCAAAAATAAAAATCTTAAGAGATTAGTCTAATTTAAGGATTAAATACATAAAAGAATACAATTTAAGAATAAAAGAATACAATTCAAGAATACAATATAAAAGATAGAACTCAAGTTTAAATATTATCTCTGCTGGTGTTATCATGGGCTCAGAGCCCATGGTGTTATTAAAAGAAATTAAGAAAGTTATCAAAAATAGACAAGATCTATTATTTCATTCTTAAACAGGTGTAGTATTGCTCTTTGTTTTAAATGGAGATCTGGAATGTTTTCGGTATATTTTATTTCTGACTTATTCTATTTTGAATTTGATAACAACGCCCCCCCCCCACAAACACTCTCACCCTCCCTAGAACTTCTTTCTTTTTTTGCTACAGTAGTACTCTGGAAGAATTGTCTCTTAATGGGAAAAGTAAACCAAAACTAACAAGGTAACATAAATTATAAAGACTAGGACTGTGAAAGTTTTCAATCCTTTGGGCTATTAAGATACATATAGTCTTACTCAATGTAATTAAAAATACCAAATGTACTTTTTTATTTCATATTTTAAAGTGCTTTCTGAATCAATTGCTAATGTCCTTCTTTTGATCATAAATGGATCTAATATATTACAGGTACATGTATATCAACTGCCCCCTGATGATATTATCAAATAAACGACTTGTTAAAAAAGGTTAAAAAAGGTAAATTCCACATACACTGTACTTTAATATTAATTGCTTTTGCAAATGTTTAAATTATTTTTGTTTTGTCAAATCAGTAAAGAAATAAAGAACTCTTGGGTTTTACAAGATTAGCCTAGTTGTGAAGTAAAGGGACTCAGTATTGCTTTAAAACACTCCTAAAAACATGAAGTCTAAATTTTATTTTGAATTAAAAACTCTCAGATATTGGAGCTTATTATGCTGATTTACAAATTCATTAATATCTTCAACATTTGGCATTTACAAAAACAACCAGTTTGGGCCATCATTCTTTGAAGTGCAAATTATAGGTTGTTACCATTCTGATACACCTCACGCCTTATTGTTTTTCAACTAGAAAGGACTGATAGAAGGCCGTGATTTCTCATGATGGGTTGTTACAGTTCTAGAAGTGAAGTAATACTTTACTATGGAATGCCACAATCCTATTGGTTCGCATATGTGTAATAATCACATTATCAAATTGTTTTGATCATGGATTTCTTCAAGTTTCAAAGAACAGTCATGAAAATTGGCTATATCGATTTATTTTGGTGTAAAGACTTCTACTATCTGGCAGTTTTGGGTGAATTCTAGTTGAATATTTTTGTTTTATTTCATTAGTACCTCAGGTGATTAATAATCTGAACAGATCACCACACAATGCATGGCTGGTCTTTTCATTAGTGTTTGATAATGATAATTATTATTCATATGGATAACGTTTTAACACTCTACTTCTGGATATAGGGTAATAATATTGTAATATCGCTAGATTATCTTTTAAAAATTGATTCAAAAAAATCTCTGATGGGTCTATAATTAGTGCTCTAGAAAATGCCCTCGTTAATTATTAATTAAGGGTTACCATGACATTGTATTATTGAGGTAAAGGGTCGTAATTCTTGATTGAATAAAATATTGGAATCTTAGACTTCAAAGATGATTCCCTGTCACTGTGCAAACCCCTAAATGGGATACAAATTGAAATATCAAATATCACCTCAAGAGCAACTTGATGTGGGAGAGAAATATAGAATACAAGGTTCTTTAAAACGTAGTCAAGTTATTTGTAAATATTATTTTCCAAATGGTAGCGTCAATCAATACCAGTTGATATTTGAATTTGCGTTTATTTCCTCGAATGTCTGATGTTATATTATTGATAGAGTACAGTGAATTACGATAATTCATACAATAAACAATTAGTTTCTATATTTTTGAGTGTTTTTTACATCTATTGACTATAGAATACCTGTTCCTAATTGAAGGTTACTATAAAGTCTAAATTTGATTGTTCTAATTGTTTGTTGTTAATTATCCTCATACAGGGCCCTATCAAATGGTATAGATCCATTAATTGAAATTGGTTACTAGCTCTTGTTAGTTGTCTCAGTTTTCTATAGTCCATACCATTATGTCATATTAAATATTGATGCTTTTTCTAAATGACTAAATGGCTTTGCTGAATGTTCTACTCATAAAGCATATTAATTGCACACGTCAAGTGATTATAAGTGAGTGCCGTTTAACCAAACTCTCATGTATCCATACGATCATTTCATCTGATACATTCACAGATATAATTTAAACAAATTTGATATTCCTGCACAAAATGTGAACAAATCATGTGATCCAATCAATTGGTCAAATGGTGTGATCCAAGCCATGTGATCTAACTGTGATCACTGTAGTGTGATCAAACTATGTGATCCGACCGATGTGATCTAACTGTGTGATCACTGTAGTGTAATCAAACTATAAGTTTGTGTCTTTTATTCTTATTACAATGTTAAGTTAGAATATGATTCATTTTTAGCAATTCACTTTTATGAAATGTATAAAACAGAAATACTCATGGAAAATCATAGATAAAGAATATACATATATAAAAAAAAGATTTAGAGCAAAATAAATATGTATTGCTGCTTATTGTATTGAATATTTGATGTAATCTTGAAGTGGGTGATTACTTATTAAAAAACAATTTCTCCTATTTTCAAACTTCTCTACCCTCTTGTTGATTGTAAATAATGTATTTTTTGCCAGTTTGGATGCTGGGAGACAGAATCAATTATTAAGGGACTAATCTTCCCACATACAACAATCATTAAATATCTCTAATGCATGAAATAAGTCAAACAGGTTAAGTACTTAAAACCTGACGTTGTCTGTTTGATCAGAATAAATGAAGGGTTGCTTAGCCCTTTTAGTAAATTCGCATTAGTCGAGTCAAAAAACTATTTACCAAATTAAAAACACATTGTCACATATCATCTAAGCAATTTACTATAGCATTAAGCTAGAAATGAGATTTATTAATTTTGATTCAATTGATACAGTTTAATATGGTTCCCTTAGGGGCTTGATAAACTGCTGCATTTACAACCATTCACTCTTAATTATCCCGTCAAAAGAAGTTCATCATGATATCGAGAACAAATCACATCAGTCAACACTTCTTTCCTGACGATATATCGAAACACTGTTTCGTTCAATTTTTTCATATAATTCAGACATATTTATGATTGTTTCTTAACTGATGATGTCTGTTTCACTTCTGCTTTTTATATGTCTGGGTTTTTATTAACACTGTCATCAAGGACTCTAAAGATTCAGATATATAAATAGTACAAAATATACTTTTTATATTTAGTTATTGTTATTAGTTATTTTCAAATTGATCCTCTCAGCTTCCTTTGAAGATTGAGGGTAAATGTTGGGAATGGACAAATGAAGGGAATAAACAAATTAATGGAATAGGCAAATGAAGGGAATAGACATATGAAGGGAATAGGCAAATGAAGGGAATAGACAAATGAATGGAATAGGCAAATGAAGGGAATAGAGGAACGAGATACATGGTAGAAAAAGGGAAAAGTGATTATACAAATAAAGGGAATAGACAAATATATGGAATGGACAAATGAAGGGACTAGAGGAACAAGATACATGATACAAAAAGGGAAAAGTGAGTTAGCGATGGGTCATACCTGAGTGAAATATGGGAGAATTCTCTTTTGAGAGACAAGATATAGTTGATTGCATGGCACCAAAACCCATTGTGGTAAGCCACACCCTCTCTATCTCTATCCTTCTGCGATGCGAGAGAGATGCTATAAGTATCAGAATGACCAAAACCAACCAACCAAAAATAGAAGTGTATCTGAGTGAGGCCTCCATCTATATTTGGTATTTACTCAAATCATTTTTGTTGTTGTTAATTTGTAGTTGAAATGTGATTGTGCGAACTGTAGATCATGCCAGCTTGAACAAGTCGAAATAGTTTGTTCTTCGGGTGTCTATAAAAATTATTTTCAAAGGATGTTAAAACCATACCTCTTCCGATCCAGGGATATGATTACACGTAAGAAAATATCAAACTGTATATGTACTACAAAAAACAGAGGCCTCAGGATGCTATGACATCCATACTAATACTTGTATTGTTAAAATCCTTAACGTGCGAACAAAAAACATGTAAGAAAAACATTACTACAAGGTGATATTTGATTCAACATCCTCTCATAGATATCTGACAAGGGGAGTGGAGCTCTAACTACTGTTATACTGACACGCTCCTAGAAAAGTCATGCTGTATCAAGTTGACAATGTCAGAGGGAACACTGTCAAAATTTCATTTTGAGCCTGAAGATTGAATTGCAGCCAGATGCAATAACTGTGTAGAAACTGCAAAGATGAACTTAGCTAGCTTCATTCTTCACACATAGAACTCCAGAGATCATCCAATTACGTTTCTTCTGCCTTTGGAAGAACAAGGTATGAGTTCTGGAGGCCTGTGTTCGAGGATGACTTACCATTTTGCTGCCATTGATACTTCCTATTTCATCATCCCTAAAGTCATTAGGACATACTTTTTCAAACTCGCAATCTCTTGCTTAAAATTAATATAATGTACATTCACAGAGACATATATCCAATGAGAAATCACTCACTTAAACACATTTCCAATGATAATTCACTCACTAAACAGGTATCCAATAAAACATCATCAATCACTTCATCCAATCAAACATCTCCCACTCATATACTCACTCATCCACTTGTTTAATGGTAGGTCACTCATTTAAACACTCATCCAATCAAAGAACAGTTATATAAACACTTATCCAATCAAAGAACACTTATATAAACACTCATCCAATGATGAATCACTCACTCAAACACTCATCCAATCAAAGAACACTTATATAAACACTCATCCAATGATGAATCACTCATTCAAACACTCATCCAATCAAAGAACACTTATATAAACACTCATCCAATGATGAATCACTCATTCAAACATTCATCCAATCAAAGAACAGTTATATAAACACTCATCCAATGATGAATCACTCACTCAAACACTCATCCAATCAAAGAACACTTATATAAACACTCATCCAATGATGAATCACTCATTCAAACACTCATCCAATTAAAGAACAGTTATATAAACACTCATCCAATGATGAATCACTCATTTAAACACTCATCCAATCAAAGAACACTTATATTAGCACTCATCCAATGATGAATCACTCGTTTAAACACTCATCCAATCAAACACCTATATTAGCACTCATCCAATGATGAATCACTCATTTAAACACTCATCCAATCAAAGAACAGTTATATAACCACTCATCCAATGATGAATCACTCATTCAAACACAATCAAAGAACACTCAGCACTCGTCCAGCGATGAATCGCTCACTTAGACATCCTACCAACACTTATCCAATTAAAAATAACCAAGTACGTATATGTATATGTATATGTATTATCAGATGATAGATCACTCATTAAAACACTCACCAAAATATTTTTTAAATATACTCACATAATCCATAACTTACATAATCCCTCACTAATATAATCTTTCACACATATTTTTCTATATTCACATGAACTCCTTCAAAAACCATTAAAATGTAAAAATATAAAAATTATAGGTAAATGTAAGAACTGTAATAACGGGCCCGTAGTACCCCCCCCCCTCTCTGGCCAAAAATTCTTTAAAAAAACATGCAGTTTTTTACCATTTTGGGGCCAAAGTTGTCAAAAGGGCACCCCTTAGATATTTCATAAAGTGAACCCCTCTCCTTGGCAGATCTTGGCTACGTACTTGAATAATTAGTAGCATTCTTTGAAATACTGACAGTTAAATGGGCAATCAGAATATTGTGCCATGTTTTCTCCTTCATACAATCAAAACTTGTGAATGTCGAACAGTATGGGCATCTGGTTATGTAATCAGTAATATAAATTAAAACCAACTGATACATGTATGTAACCAATACATTGTTGAATGAGTATAATCATTTAGTGTCACACCAGATTCAATTAATGATCACATATACGAGTACTTGGTGAAAGGCAGCAAAGAAAAAAAAAGTGCGTGAAATAACCCACAAATCATCATCGTTGGTGAAGTCTTAGATGGTTAAGTTAACAAGAACAACATTTCTGCAGGAACTATTTTATATAATAGTACATGTACATTAATATAATAATTATAATTACATGTACTAAATTTTTATTATTCAAATTCATTAACATAGATTGGAACACAAATTTTAGTTTACACCTGATTTTTTATATTTTAATGGTACATTTATACAAATACAATCATTATATACTTATATTTTGTTATTCAAAATTAATAACATAAATTAGTACATAAATATAATCATTATGCACCTGATTTTTCATATTAAGTAATATATAGGGGATATGCTTTGCAGTGATCTCGCAAGATTTTTTCTCAAGTGGGTGCAAAATTCTCATTTTAACAATTCAGACCAAAATTGGTCAAAATATGCCAATTTTTCATGATTTTCTCATTTTCAAGTGGGTGCAAATGGATTTTCAGGTGGGTGCAAGCCTACTTTCAAAATCTCAGGTGGGTGCTGCGCCCACTTGCTTTAATGCTGAGGAGACCACTGCTTTGATTGATGCAATATTACTAGACTGTCAGACAAAGCCAGTTTTCAAACATATAATGACTCTTCAACTGTATCGTTTGTTAGGTTCATGTGTTAATGACAGTGTTTTGCAGTTTGGTGTACTCATTATATACAATATCTGAATGAAACATTTGATCGTTAAGTAGTACATGTATATCGAAATTGTTCAGGATCAACATAAGGTTAAAGCAAGGAGTAACAAAGATATTTAGGGCTATCATCTAACTGCAAAAAAAACTCAAAGATCAGGAAAATTATTTAATTATTATTAGTGATCAGTTTTGGGAAAAATCTGTGACCGTTATAAAGTAAAGTTTGACAACAGGTCCAACTGTGCTAATTGCCTGAAAAATGATTTTGATTGTGCAACATGATTGATCAATTTCGATCATTGAATTTGTCAATCAATCGATGAGACCCGGAAACTTTTTGATTTCATTTCTGATTTTGATTACACGTACAACCTCAGGCAGTTTCACTTGTACTGCCAGTTGTAAAGTATTGAGAGACTGGGTGGCATGTGGATTTGGACAGAGACCCAAACATAGTTATTTGTTTGGTAACGGATTGATTTCAATACAGGAGAATGTCTTGAGAATACCACATGATAATCATACTGTAAACAGAGATTGTAACATTGTGATTAGAGATTGAAACAAAAGGATTAAATATATCTAACATCAAAGGAACTGTATGTACTTGTACATACTGTATGCATATACATGTAGCATATATAGAGATATAGAAATAGTATATTGATATAGCAAGATGGTTTTTGAGCTTGAGGAACATGTTCCGGCTGATAGTGGTAAGAATCTTTTTTGTAATGGCATATTTGCAATTGAACTTGAAATTAATGTTATGGGATACAAAATAAAAAAAACATGAATTATGGTCAAAATTAAAATGTTCAGTGAATTAAGTGTAAAAGAAGTTATATTAGCACGTATGTTAACAGTTAGAAGGTAGAGAGAATAAGTGATAAAAGATTTACATGATGTACCTATATATTTAATAAAACAAATGTTAGCTAAGTGTAAATAACGAATATTTGAGAATCTCTTCAATGACAAACTTGTAATTCTAAATACGGTAACTCTTTTTGACTCACTTCATTATTTTGCACATATTTGAACAATTTTGGCCATAGTCGCAAAAAAAGAATTAATTGCACACCAACCAACCACATCACCGATTGTTATAATCACAAGTATACCTCCTCAGTTCCTCGAATCTGGGAGGTTTCAGATCTATGTATGTGGCTATGGATAATGTGAATCAGATCAATTATACGGCCACACCTATAGTCTCTTTGGCATCTCTTGTGATGGTCTAGAATATTCATGTATAGATCATATGGACCCCCTCCTCTTTCTAACAATTTTGCACCAAGAGGATGAAGTGACGTAATGGTATGTACGGGGACTTGGAGGGAGACTGTGTGTCATAAGAGTTTTTACAATGTTTCAGTACTACTTATATTCTGCATTTGTATCACTTATATCTTGGGGAAAGATTACAAATATCCTGCAATTACATGTATGTTTGTACTATATCAAAGATAGTTCTACTTCATGGCCCAATTAGAACACCCTTATATACAGCTAATTGTAAAGCTGGGGGTTTGTTTTTCTCAACGTCAGGTAGGTCTGACAATTAACGGCCCCATCCTGAGTTATGGTTAGTCATAAATGGAACATGGACGTTAGGGTTGGGATAAAGATTTCTACTCTAGAGATGGACTTGACTGATGGTTTATTTGATTTTTTTGCAGAAACATCGTGCGGATCAACAGGAAACAGTGGCATGAAAAATTGCATAGAGACAATGCATCTAAACAATACTATGAATGGATGTTCTACAGAACAATCTGTTAAAGAAATATGTTGCGGGTGTCAAGCCGTCATTGAGGACCGATTTTTACTCAAAGTGATGTCCAACTCGTGGCACGAAAAGTGTTTGCAATGTAGTATTTGCCAGGAACCTCTAACAAGATCATGCTACGTCAAAGACTGCAAACTCTTTTGCAAACTAGACTACGACAAGTGAGTATATCTTGAATATTACTGTTATATGCTGTTGTTGTTATATAATATTACTAGATTTGCCCCGGTAATTAGTCTCATCCAGTATATACTAGATTTGCACCAGTATGTGCTAGATTTGCGCCAATGTGTTCTTATGTACTGAACTTCTCAGTGCTAAAAGAAACTATCTGAAACATTGATACATACATATAGCTTAGTAAAAGATCTTAAAACAGTATAACTGTACACCTGAAGAATCAGTCCCGATTGCACCCAATATGCACCTGGGCATCATAATAGTCAATAACGATTCTTCATTTCAGCTTTTTTTGTAATTTTCAAGTGAATGGACAGTTGTCAATCAAAGTGAATTCAAAAATGTGTAGGTTCAATGTTAAAATTGAATCGCCCAAAATATCGGTGAACTGTGGCAGGTTACATTCAACATAACCTCAAATTAAAGTCAGCTACCCGTGATTTGATTAGTTTCTCATAGGTGCATTTAAGCTCACTTAATAAATGCTTTACTTCCAAATTGAAATATATTATGAAATTTACAACTGTATGTTATTGATAATCCTAAAAACCAGAAAATTCCTGAATTGATTTTTTATAACATTTAACCTGAGTAACACTCAGTTTTGGATTATGGTATTCAAAGTTGAAATAAATCAATCAAAAGTTGTATTGAATTCAGTATTAAAACCCCTGGGCATACACAGTCATCATGCTACGTCAGAAATTAATTTAACTTTTGATTCGTGATTTTAATTGGGATTTAATTGACGTATGAGGTAACGCATACCTATGTTTAAAAGTATGTTCTGTGTGTTTCTTGTTCTCTATTTTTCTTTATGAATATTGCTAGATTTTCTTCTTGGCATTGTTCTGGACATAACTGATCTATTTTTATTCAGCAACAATATGATAAAATTACCCTATTCGTAATTAAGCTCCAGGTTTTAATTTTTTAACATCGCCACTGTTAACATTCTATATATGTACATGGTCACTATGTGCCTGTTTAATCTTTTCATTTGTAGTATTGTAGTTATTTTTAATTAGTTATATAATGACTCTACCATGATATCTTACAATATTTATTTACAAAATTAGACTCGTTCAATTAAAGTTAGAAGAATTTTAAGAATAACGTTTTTTAAGAATATCTATATAGTATACCACAGGAAGCCATTCTTTGATTTTGAAATTCTTCTAAATATAAGTGTCTAAAAGTGTTACACTTTAAGAGAAATGGGAAGTTGGGTACATTTATAATTATACCTTACACAAGTTAGATTTAATTTTATAATATCTGTCATTTGTCAATAAATTGACATAATTGTACTCTGTACTATCAATAATTATGACAGTATTCATCATTTGATAAAAATAAGGTATGAAAATAAAATGATGTCATCATGATGTCAATTTAGTTCTGTCTTGATGTCATACTTCAATATTAATTGATATCTCTGATTTACCCAAGTCATCTAAATAGGGTAATATATTTATCATGTTCATGATATTTCACACATGCTTTATGGACAGAATTTCCTGGACAATATATCTGCCAAAAGTATAATGCGACAAATGCTGATGTTTTCAAGTTAAATGAGAGAATTTATTGCAATGTTATATGCTAATTTATAGAATAGTATATGATTGTGACATTTACTGGTTAAGCATGCAGTTTCTTTGAGGGGATCTTATACGGAGACATCTGGCAACCCAAGTGCCTAGCCACACTTAGCGTTTACTCAAGCTCTCAAAACTTGCGAAAAACACTCCACGGACAACTTTGAATGTACGTTGCTATGTGGCGAGATGAAGTGGAGAGACAAGCCAAGGAGAACTTTCAATCCTATAGAAAAAAATTTACCGAATTTGTGTTTTTATTTCCTATCGGTGAATAATTAAAGAATAATGTTTTGGAATTGATATGCTTGAATATAATAAGAAGTAAAAATTTCAGGGAAATTTCAGAGAAAAAATCGAGAAATAAGTATGATAATATAGAATATGTGTATGGCATATAGAGGTATTTTTGATCTACTTTGTCTTGTAATCCGATTGAGTAAGACATTAAACCAGCCGGGAAATGGGCCAGAAAATGTCCAAAAAGCTTCTATAGGTTTGATAGCGTTATGTGTAATATAAATATACTTAATAGAATTATAAAGTCTGCAATCAAAGCAAGGAGGAAATGTTCAGAGATAAGTATATAAGTCGTTGTTTAAATAATGCCGGTGATCAGAAAACAGAATATCCATACATGCCCCATGGTTAGCCGTATTTGTCTACTACCCATAAATGGTCAGCTCCATAAAAATAACATGTTTCAAATCAAGTTCAAATACTTTGTGAATTAAAACTGGAGATTAGGGCCCCGTTTACGGAAATGATTGGTTTGAATTATCAACGAATTATATAAACTATTCATTCCATTAATGATAGATGTAAACTATTGTGTAATGGCCAAAAAGAAGTCTGATCTTTATTTATAGTAGACCATAATACGCTTCTTATTTACATTTAACAATTGTATATTTCTTTGAATCGGTTCATTTTCACTGATTGGAATTGTACTTTTCTGAAGGGAATTGAGAGGTAGCTATTTAACAAGGTGATACAAGGGATTAAGAATTTGATGATAAGCCGATCAAATATGACAATCGTGTACTTATAGTATGTGAAACATGGGTGCATACGCCTAGAGCCATTGTGCAAATACACCAAGTTTTCTAGCTTATTCTTGTCCCTTCAAACATAGAGTTTTTCTTATGAATATTGTCAATAAACTTAATGATTTTCTCGTGTTTTTAAACATTTTAAGTTTTCTATCAGTCCTAATTATTTATTCCAAGTCAGTTCTTCTATTGGAGTTAATCTTTTATTAAACAGACATATAATTCCTATCATGATTTTTGTAGAGGATTTCTTGTAAATGTAAAATTTATCATTTTGTAGAACACGATTTTAGATTAGAACAAGTAACTTGTAAGACGATATGATAAAATATCGACTCATAATACCCAGCAATATTGTCTAGCAATGACAATGAATATGACAATAAATTCTGTAAAATAGTTAAACGTCATACGCATATGGAAAGAAAGTGTCAGATATTGTTCGACTAATTGTTTCATTTTCACTTCTCTGCATAAAATAACAATATTTTATCAGCTTTTTCATAAATATATTTTTTAAGGAGTTTATCAATTCATTGAAACATTAAATCGTAACAATTATATGAAATCAGATATTTTGGTCAATACAGGACTATGTTTGAGATATATTTTAACCAAACATTCAGGAGTAAACGACCATATATCATAAAATATCAAAAATGAAAGTTGTCATAATATGCTAATAATCTTAAAATAAAAATATGAAAAATGCACACAAGAAAAAATATACTAATTTCAAAAATTAATTAATTTGGAAGATTTTTCCATATGGACATGAATGTCAAGATAAAATGTCGAAGAAAATTCCACATATAAGATTGAGAATTAAATGAGTGTTTAAACGAAATGCATAGAATGGAATCTTGAAATTATAAAGTGCACAATCAGTTGCTCAATGGACCATATTATTTATAAAGTATTGTTCCAACCTACCATAAATAAAATGTTACATGAGTCATGATTATAAATGAAGAAAAGTATCATTTTAAAACAAAAATTGAAGTTAACAGGGATTACTGTATACTTTAAATTTGAATTATGTAGCATCGCTCAGGATGATATATACGTTGTTCAATTTAAGAGAAAATTCTAAATTTGACATATACAAAGGTTTGATGAAATGGTATATGCTAATTGCACGGAGTCCTGCATGAATGCTTCGATAGCACTAAAATATGACAAAAATGTGCATGAATATAGGACATATAAATGTATATGCATGTACAATATGTTTTATGGCCTTTTTGATATACCGTTTTTCTTGTTTTATATTCAGAACTGTATAAATAATACCTCTTGATTGTGTCTCATTCTTTTTGAAACTTTGTCGGAAACTTGTTTTCTTATTGCATTTTTTATGATCCATTTGTATCCTTTGTCTTAGGCAGTGATAGATGAGGTTTGCTCACATATGCGCACAATACAGTTACTAAGATGTACGATGTTAAAACGTCTATTTGCACTAATACCCAGGCCTGTAGCCAAGATGGGGGTTTGGGGGGTAAAATCATACTTCACACCTACATGTAGTTAGACTAAAATAGAGTGTTAAAAAATAGTGTAATATCGTCATATTATTAATTATTATAAAAATGGAGTTTCGTCTAAAATAGAAATTATGGTAACCTTGCGAATGAAGAAAGATATTTGAAATACCCAGGTTAATTTTTTCTTGAACAAACAGATAAGTAATATCTTTTGATAAGTCAATTAGCTAGGTTACGTATTAGGTATACTTTAGAAATCATTATTTACATTTTTTCATCCCTAGTGAATTCCATTTATTGTCTCCAGAATATTGCAATTAAGTTAACTTTATTTGCATTTTTTAATATGTGCAAAGGGATTCGAAGCAAACATTTTGAATAAGGGGGTTTACATTAGTTTCTGAATGTGTATGTTATATCATTTCAATTAAACCATTGGCCCGTGTTACGAGATTCTCCTCACAGGGTCCCAATTATGCATGGTTATCCTATTTATAGTGATATAATAACATCTTGAATGCAAACCCTGGGGATCTATTATCACCCATTATCATTCAAAATTTTCATCCGCCTGAGAAAAAGATTTAAAATTCCATAATTCACAGAGCTGTCTTTTGTGACGTAAGTGATTGATGGGTCTTTTATTTGCGGCAAATGTGCGTAAAGTTTTGATGGAAGGAGAGGGTGGGCACAGTGACCCCTGCCAGCCTTTAGTAAACTTGAGATCCCCAATTTCAGGTTTTGAACAGGTCTAAGATGCTATCTTAACCCCTTCTGAAAATATTTGTAATGATAGTACCTAAATGTTCGAATTCGGGTGAATTATACAATAAAGTCAACT